ACCCACACCCACACCTACACTCACCCACACCCACACCCACATCCACATCCACACCCACACCCACACCCACACCCTGAATGAAATTCGCCTACACACATGAATCATCTACTTTCAACATTTGTACACGATACATTTCGTTATTATAAGTATGACGTGATTGAAAAGTACCTATATGGTTTCTTTATATTTACAAACAATGAGAATTTGTCAAAACTTCTTGTGACAAATCCAATCAATGCAACGAAGTGAATCAATATCAAAATAAACAATATAATCAAGTATTCATTCAAAAAAAAAACTGACAACGTCATCAATATTAGTAATATTAGTTTGAAATTAGTCAAATTATGAATAATTACCATAGTTTGAACGAGCCTATATAATTCAATCATTTTTTAAACAGGACTCTATTGACTTTAGAGAAAGGCTTTGATATACATATTGATGTTCAAATGATTTTTATCAGTGATGATCGATTTACAATCGAAATTTTACTGAACACATCGACAATCAACGCAAGATCTGATCAAATAGAAGTGAATGGGTCCATATCAAATTCTTAACTATTTTTTATTTTGAAAATTTAAAATCGTTATCATATTTTAATGCTAATATGTGAATTCTAGATAAAATATTTATTGCATCAGTTGATTACGAAAAATTATTTTTATTTGTTTATTTGTTTAAAAGGTAATCTATTTATTAGCTTCTATTAACATTTCTAAACTTTTTTTTCTATTTTTATTTTGACTAATAAAAAACAACAGCAAAAAAAATCACGCAAATAGAAGTAAATTGGTTTTGTATCTAGCTAGCATCTATCGTTCACTTCATATTAATTAAATTAAATCATGGTAGGTATCGATGCTAAAAATAAACATATTCTGGACCAGAAATACATTTGTTCTGTGTGTAACTTTATACTACAAGATCCGATGCAATTACCCAAATGTGGTCATCGGTATTGTCAAACATGTTTAGATATTGAACAAGAGTAAGTTTCATTATCAATTTGAAATATTATTGTTCGATGTTCTCTTTTAAGAACGATAATTAAATGCCAGCAATGCCAAGCAGAATCGTTAAGGAATGACGTAAGATATCTTTTCATAATTAAAGGGGAAATATACTTCTTTTGTACAGATACTAGTTGATCGAGGTTTCAAAATGGATATGAAATTGCTGCCCATTGATTGCTCTTTTTGTCAGTGGGCTGGGATCTTAAATAACTATCAAGTAATTTATTTTATATTTATTTTATTCATAAAGCTTCTTTTCTTTGTGTTCTAAAGGAACATCTTGACCAATTTCATTCAAATGGCAAATGTGAATATTGCGGCGAACAGTTCAATTCAATTAACAAACTGAATGAACATAAAGTCTTCAAATGTCGACATCTCATTGTTGACTGTATATTGAAAGGTTTTGGTTGTAATGAACGAGTATGCATATTCTCTAGATGAAATCAATATAGAAAAATTCATGTTATTTAGATTATCCGTGTTGAAATGCAAGATCATTATTTAACTCAACAACATCAACATGCTTTACTCAATGCTGTTCATCAAATGTTATCACAATTAAACGACAGACAAACGGATATTGAGCATTCTCGAACAACAACTGCGGGACCTTGTAATTCTGCTACAGCTCAATCAGAAGAGCTTTATGAAATGCTTAGTATTTTAGTAGGTGGTATAGAAACATTGGCCAATGATGAACAACGCCTAGCCACTGAAGCACTAAAAATGCAAACGGCTATTCCAACACTGACAGAAGAATTATCGAAAGTTAAATTATCTGTTGAAGAGTCAAATGCTTTTTTGGAAGGAGTCAAACATAATCAAGCCATTCTTAACCAAGATTTATTATCATTGCAAGAAAAAATCAATGATTTGCAATATATATCGTACGATGGAACACTCGTTTGGAAAATAGGAAACTTCCACGAGAAAATGAGTAAGATGACCGATTATTTCTATGTCCAACGATAAAAATAGAAAATCTTACCGAGAAGATGACCAAAGAATAACATATTATTCGGTTTCTATAACATCGACAAATAAAACTTAATTGATTCAACGTTGCATTCAACATTATATATATAATTATACTCCAATACTAACTATGAGTAATATATAAATGAATTGACAACATGAATCATTACTGCTGTCGATCAACTAAAGGACGGAGGCGTATAAGCTATTGGAAATGGGCCACTAGGGATTTATTGACATTTCATTGACAGTTCTTTCTAAAGAAGCGATGCAAGTTTTATTAAAGCAGATCTAAGTAGAACTATGCATGTTGAGGCTTATTTTCAAGCGAAAATATTGTAAAATATCATATAGGTCTTTTTGGGATATTTGATGTGTTCTAAGTGTAATCATCGTAGTTCAATATTTGATCAAAATAGATAAGCTTTTGAAAATATTGAAACCTCAATTTATCTTCATTAACAAGAGAATTTAATTCTGCATCCTTTCATATAAAGACTGTTATTTTTTTTACGAACTACCGAGGTCATCAATAACACCACTCTTCTATTGGACATCCTATTGAACATGATTTTATTGCATACTATCTAACATAATATTGATTCGTTTGAATTTTTTTTTCATGCGAACCAGTTTCATTTATATACCGTTCGATAGAGCGAAGCAAGGACTACAAACTGATATATAATTCATTTAGTTTTGGGTTGGTCCCAATATTAAAAAGGGCGTGGGTGTGGGCGAGAAAAAGAAAGATCTTTACCTACACCCACACCCACATCCTTACTTAGATCCGCTTAAATAAAAGTTGCCTCACTTCTCTAGAAAGAATTGTCAATAAAATGTCAATAAATCCCTAGTGGCCCATTTTCTACAGCTTATACGCCCCGTCCTTTTCTATACTGTTTTTGCTCTTCTTGACATAATTTTTTTTTGGTTTAATTTTTAGTTGATGCACAGTCCGAAAGACAAACATCAATTTATTCATCCCCATTTTATTCGTCTCCAAATGGGTATAAAATGAGAGCTCGCCTTTATTTGAATGGCGATGGAAATGCTCGTCGTACACATATGTCGCTCTTTTTTGTGCTCATGCGAGGTTTGAACGATCCAATTCTCAAGTTTCCGTTCAATTATAAGGTCACATTCTGTTTGTACGATCAAACTCCTCAACAACGACATATTATCGATTCATTTCGACCAGACATTAAATCA